CTCTGTCAGGATAAAAATGTTTTTTTAACCTATGATCTCTAGTTTTTAAAATCACAGGATTTCCGGCTCGTCCATAATTCTGGTCCATGTCTGTTTTTTAAAGCTCCTTCCTATGGCAATAAGGAAACAAGTCACAACAAATTTCTGCTAAATCAGTACTCCATTCTTGAAATTATTACCAGCTCCCTTGGTCTTTGCCACTCTTGGAATGGCAGTGGCAAAAAGAAAGTATATTTTTATGGAGGGGTCACTCCAGGTCACAGCGTAGGACATTTGTACAGGCTGCAGATGCGGTGCGTTTGGCTCAGCTGAGCCAGCTGGAGCACGAGGCTGATTTTGTTGCCTTGGGAGTATGAGGCTGCTGCCTGCGCTGCTGCCTGCTCATTCTAGTTGCGCTCAGAGCACAACGCCCCGGAATACAAATGTTAGTGTGTTTTTGTAGGGGTGTCTCTGATCAGAGGAAGGAGAATCTTCTACTACTGGTACATACTTAATGAATTACTGTTCTTTATGAAGAGGTGTGGAAAGTAGAATGTCAGGATGTAGAATAACACCAGCAATGGAAATTCGGTTCAAAGTAGCTTTGAATATGAAAGAAAGAAACCTTTTAAACCAAGCTATCTTTTATTCTATGTATATGTTATGTGCTTCGGGAAAACTACTACACAAATATTTTTTAACATGCTGGAAATTTTTTGTACTCCCTCCCATAAAACTGCTGTCTTTCCAATCATAGAATTCAGAAGGTGCCCAGAAGGCATAAAATAGTTTTTCCATATCTCAAAGTGTAATAATATTGAATTATTATATTATTGGATAGTCTGGTGGTTGAAAGAAAGATCGCATTGCAGCAAGAAACTGAAAATCTTCCCATATCTTTTTTCCCTCCCTGTTTGGACATGTGATATACGATTTAAAAACTGCATTCTGTTAGTATATAGAGAATTTCGATTACAATGATGGCAAGTGTTAAAGTTTTGGTGAAAGAGGTTGGGGTCATTCCATGTTCTAGGGGAGACAGAGGGAACATCCTTTACATGATTTGAGAGTGCTTTGGGGTTTTTTAGCCTCAGTTTCTGAGGAAAAGAAGCCGATGTACTTGCCAAGCCAGCTGGGGAGACTTCTCTCTTCCCATACCTTTTTAACCCTGTGACAGTTTCAATTAATTTGTCAGGAAGACAGAGGCATTGTATGTAATTATTTTCCAATGAATCCTGTGCACATAAGCTGCTGGGCAGAGGGAGCAATGCCCTGTTAGTTCCTACAGTGAAGGGGAGACTGCAGTGGGATATCAGTGCTAATTACATGTCAGAAAATCCTCGGAGGTGCACATCCTGACTCCAGAAGTCCCAGGAAGTCGGGATCATTGTGTTTGCTCTCCGAACTACTGGTTTATTTAAAATTGTGGATATTTGGTATGAGCTATTAGCAGGGTGACAGAATGGGATGAAAGTCTGGTGAAGCAGCCACAAGTGTCCGATAGGTAGGTCTGCTACGTGAGCTCATTCTGCCACATGTGAGTTGAAGAGTGTTATTTCCAGCTGATGTCAGTGCTGAATTGGCTCACTGGACCTTTTTTTTTTTTTGTGAAAGGGAGTTTAAAGCAATGGAAATGTTGTGTTCATAGATGTTGGGGAAACTTGGGTGATGTGAAAATACTTGTGTAATTGGCTGTGATGTTGCTCACATTCTAACTCTTGTCTTATTCCAGTAATATGTCTGATGCTCTCGCAAATGCAGTATGTGAACGCTGCCAGACTCGATTTGATCCTGCAGAGAGGATTGTGAACAGCAATGGGGAGCTCTATCATGAAAATTGCTTTGTCTGTGCTCAGTGTTTTCGTCAGTTCCCAGACGGACTTTTTTATGAGGTGAGGTCTCATACTGTGTGTAAGAGGAGAGAAATACCTCCATTAAAAGGCAAGGAATTAGATGAAAATTCTGGCAGAAACACGTATTTTCATCTTTCTTGCATGTTTAATTTCTTAGCCCTAAACCTTTATTGCTGGTTTTTTTGAGGGGCTTCCAACTTATTTTCTTTTTTTTTCTCTCACATACTCCTTCCTGTACATACGTAACAACAAAAACTATGTGCTTGCTCTTTGGGTAAACGGCATTTCAAAAAGATAACAGAAAATGTTTTATAATATTTCATTAGTCATAAGTGAATTTTTATGTTTACGTTTAGATATTTTGTACCAAACTTTTCCAATTGGGCAACTGAAATTGAACCCATTTAGAAGTGAGGTTAAAATATTTTTACAGAATGTGTGTGAGCACATATTTTGAATAACACATTACTTTAAATGTGCTGCGTTCTTAATTTACTGTGAGTTTTAATCTCGTGTAGGAGAAGTAGTTCTGAATTAAATGAGTAAAAAAAAATTAAAGGCAAAAAGAAATTAAAGCCAAGTATAGAAAAAGGGCTTTGGGACGCTTCAGGAATTTTGCTATCTTGTAGCAGCATTGCTGTTGATTTAACTGTTTGTTATGCAAGTTTACCGTAAGGCTGAAGCCATATCTTGATATTTCTTTAAGAAAAATCCTTAGGAGTTTGAAAACAGGTGAGATGAAGCTAGAACTGGAAACCTTGACTGACCTTGACTAATTAGTCATTTCCATGGAAAATCATGCTGAACTATCCAAATGTAAGAGTAGCCGAGTTTTTCACGAGGACTCACCCTCTGTTGTTTTGTTCACAGTTTGAAGGTCGGAAGTACTGTGAGCATGACTTTCAGATGCTGTTTGCTCCTTGCTGCGGGGAATGTGGTAAGACATGGTGCATGTCAGCACTGTGGGGTAACAGTTACAGGGCTGTGCAGACCTCCCACCATTGCAGTGACATCCTGCACTGGGATTGTCTGGGATGGGCTGGGATTGTTCAGGAGGTAAACAAGGCATGATACCGGCAGTGATTTGGGGTATCCTGGCTGTAGGAAGAATTAGGTTTTTTTCCAAGTTAGACTGTTAGAATTCTTGTGGAATTAAAGTGGCAGCATTATGAAGGGTGATAGACTTTTGATGAGACGGTTTTCTGCATGCCTCTCAAGGTGTTGCTTTCATTTTGCAGGTGAGTTCATTATTGGGCGTGTTATCAAGGCAATGAACAATAACTGGCACCCTGAGTGTTTCCGCTGTGAGCTCTGCGATGTGGCACTTGCTGACCTGGGTTTTGTGAAGAATGCTGGCAGGTAAGACAGAGCAGGAGCTCTGAAAGTTTTATCAGTATGTCACTGATACAATAGTGAGATGTTGAGAGTGGTCACTTGGTTGTACACTGCAAGGTAAAGCTTGAAAAGGTACAGAAGCTTTAAGGAATAGCCTGTTAGGAGATGAGAAATGGAATGAAGAACAGTCTTCTTCATCTGATGAAACATGTAGAAAGCAGAAACTCAGATTTTAGTAGCTGGTGGATGGGTACTGCAAAGGAAAGGGATTTCAGGCAAAAGTCTGAATAGCAAGTGAGAAAAAGGGGTTACGTGATCCTGGGAGGGTATTTACCAAGTAAGATGCTGAGCAGGAAGTGAAGATATAGTAAAAGGCCAAGAGAATAATGGGAGGGTTACAGGACAGCTTGTTCAGCATGTGATTCCCCTGGTCTTTGGAAATCATTCATTTTGTATACAGAAATATAAAAATGAGTCCTAAAGGGTGATTAATGCATTTAATTAAGAAGTAAGAAATAAAAACATAAACGGGGACTTTTACAAAAGCATACTATGATAAGAAAATAAAAAAATCCAGTGGTTAGTAGACAGTGTTGCACAATTCGTAGTTAATTTCAGGCTTTCGTATGTCTCGAGCAAAGCCTTGTAGTTTCATAGAGCTTATATTTTCACCGAGTGGTGAAGAAGGGAAGGAAAGGTAGTATACTTGTACCCTGTCCAGCAGGGAGTCCTCTCAGCTCCCTCTTCCATCCTGCATGCAACTTGTGTGCCTTAGTTTTTGGAGCTGGGCATAATTGATTTTCCTTTGATACCTAAGCTTGTTAGAATGGGCTTTTATGATAGCATCTAGGGTGTTTTGGGAAAGCAGTCAGGACTAAAGCAGTTCAAGCAAGATAAAGTATGTTTCACTTCATAATTTGTGGACCAAATCTAAAAAGGTAAAGGCCCATTCCCAAAAGCATAGAAAAGGATATGTATCTGTACATAAAAAATACAATTCACCTGTCATGTCATTTCCTATAATATTTATCTCCATAGCATAGAAGCAGTCTTCTCCTAAGTGTTACTGGAAATCCTTGGGTTCTGACTATTTGCAGGGAACTACGTAAAAGAGACAGTGTGGTAAATGTTGTCCAACCTCCATGTGCAGCTTTGAGACAATGGCAGAGGGCAGATAGAAAAGGTAGTGTGAAGTTTAGTGCTCATCTCCAGCTCTGAATGCTGGGAAGAACTAAAAAATTTTAAGTCCTATCTTAATTTCTGTCCAGGTTGGGTGCTTTGCAGCATTTTTGTCTTTTTTTTTTTTTGCCACCATTTAGTACCAATTTTCTGTCTACTATGTGTAAATGTTTTGAAATTTGAGACTTGCTCAAGATGTGCAAGCATGCTGTCTTTTCATCAGGCAGGTCTGTTTCAGGAGTGGGTCTCTACTGCTGGCACAATATAAAATTTTAAAGGAGGCTGTATGCATTGCGCAGAGGAAGAGTTGTTGCTGAATGCTTTGGGAATTGTTCTCTTCTTTTTTTTTAAAAAAAAAAAAAGTCCGTTTGATAGCCTCTTTGCTCCCTTCCCTATTCCTAAGTGTTCAGCCCTCAGTTTCACATCTTGGAAATCAGTAGAACTGTACTTCTGTTTGCAGTTTCAGTAAGACAAGAACGTGTGATCTCTGTTGTCAGAGGGGTTCTTGCTAGTTGCAGTCCCGTAAAAACAACAGAACTTCTCTTCTCAGGATGAGTTTGACTCTGGGTGGGCTGTCTCACTGCATATTTGCGCTCTCAGCTGATTTTGGTGGAATAGAGTGTTCTTCAGTTGAAGTAGTGACAAAAGTCATGTTCACAGTTCCGATTTAGCACTTAGTGAGCTTTCATTTGTCTTACCCTCATACGTTTGAGGCAACATTACAGTCTTCTTAACACAAAAGAGATTGCACAAAGCCTCACGGAATTTCTCAGCCACAAAGAAATACATGACTGGGTCAAAGGCACCGTTTAGACTCGTGAGGCAGGAAGTGATGCGGTTACTGAGAGCTAGAATACGCTGTGTTTCACAGGACGTTTGGGTTCCATTGTAATGGAGAATATAAATGTAGCGATTGACATGATAAGGTACAAAGCAAACCAGAAAGATCATCAGGACCATGATGATCATTTTGATAGCTTTTTCCTTCAGGTGTTTCTCAATTCTGTTCCCACTCTTCAGGCTCTGGATGATTAATAAGTAACAAGTCACAGTAGTAACAAATGGGAAGGTGAATGCCACTGCTAAGGACACAAGAGCATGACGTGATGCCTTTTCTCTGTAGAGCTGCAGGCAGATGGTTGTGTTGTTCATCTCGACTGTCTGCACACTGAGCAGCAGAGGTGCCATCGCAACCCCAACAATAACCCATAGGAAGGCACAAGCCAAATGGGCATAAAGGGACCTGCGGAGCTTGATGGACTTTACAGGGTGCACAATGGCTAGGAAACGGTCCACGCTGATACACATGAGGAAGTAGATGCTGGCATACATGTTAAGGTAAAAAAGGAAGCCAGTGAGTCTGCATGGAATCTCACCAAATGGCCAGTGATTACCAGAAAAATGGTACACCAGCCGGGTGGGAAGTACCAGCACAAAGGACAGGTCAGCCACAGCAAGGTGCATCAGGAAAATGTTGGCAGGTGTGCCTGACTTTTGGTCCCGGATGAAGAGCCAAAGAGCCAGGGCATTGCCAACAACTGCCAGGATGAAGTCCAGGAAGTAGAAAGTGGCAAAAAGGATGTTCTCGAGGTGTGTCTCTTTGCCACATCGCTCTGAAGTTTCCAAAGAGAAATTTGATGGGTTTGAGCAATTGAAGAGTGGGTTTGAGGGATCAGCTGGGCCATTCATTTTTCACCACAATTTTGAAGAAAAAAACCTGAAAAAAACTGAAATAATTGAGATAGTATATTACAAAAGAGCCTGGTTTTGTGAAGAAACAAACCAACCCACCCAAAAGCCACTCATGGAAATCAGTGAAGTCTCCTGTTTGCTAATATTGGTATTTAATACGACAGGTCAGTCTGAGTTTAAACCCTAAAGTTACAATTCTGAATACCTCCTGCTCAGCTGGATTTTCCAGACGATAAATTCTGTTGAAGGAACCACTATAAAGAGCTAGCTAGCTGATAATCAGCCTGTCTCCAACCTGTGCTGAGATCAGTTGAATAAGAGCAGTGAAATGTTAATGGAAGAGTGGAAGTGGGTTGTGTATGTCTAGCTAGAAAGTTATTTGCTATGTTTAATTTGAAAGCCTGATTCGGGACTGAAGAGCCTCCAATGAGTCAGCTTTTCTGAGCATAGGTATCTGTTGTAAAGTGACCTAGCTTAGAATATCTGTCTTGTTCCTCAAAGAGGTGGACGACCCATCAGGTATTGCTGTTATTAAAAAAACTGCAGGGTTCCTGAAAATCTTTGAGAATTACTTTAGTCTAAAGTCCTGAGTTTAAGGCAAAGGCATCTAGTTCCAGTATAGGAGGAAACTTCTCAGATGGGTAGCAGCATCTCATTTGAACAGCAAAAAGCACTGAACTGACTCAGAAAAGATTATTAGTAGTGCCCATGCTGTTGGTTACTTGTCAAAGTGTCATCTTTCTTGCAGCTTTCTTCTCCAGGCATAACTCTCTTCCTCCCTCAAAAGCCTGAGCTTCACTCTAGCTTATCCAGGACCTTTTCCAAGTAGCAGCTTAGTAAAACTGAGTTTAGCTTTGCCGGTCTCTCTGTTTTCTGCAGGGTCCTGAGCAGCATCAACAAAAAGCAGCAAGATGTTCTGGGCACCTACCCATGGCTTTTCATACATTTCTCATCTGTGGGTACAGGTGGTAGGGAAACACGGGGAGTCTGAGTTTCCAGCATTGTCTCTGTTTCTTGGATTCCTGCATCCATTTTCCTCTACTGAGACTAAAATTTTAAGGTGATTGCTGGCATTGTTAGATGAAACTTTTAGTCTTGGGCAGAATCTATGCTATATGCTGAAATCTTACATCATTAGACAGTTGATCCAAGCGTGATGCAATGCATCCAGCTTCCCAACAGAACTGCTTATTCAGATGTCTAAAAATACTGGTGGCTAATCAAGAAACTGAAATGGGATTAAGAACAGACCAATATATAGGAAAATGTAAACAGAATTCCAAGGTAATTAACGTCTTCTGTTTGGCTGCTGTCACTTTCCGGTGGGCAGAAAACTATAATAGCTAGAGATTAATATGCTGGACCACTTCTGTTTATTTCACAGTTGAAGAGACGAGTCAACAGAATGGAGACGGAATGAAATTCAGAAACTGAAATTTCTTCATGTAGCCACAGAGGGGCCTTCTCACTCCATGCATTGCCTGGATACCCTGCATGTTTATGGCACAAAAAACACTCGAAGTTTGAGTGTGTAGGTACTCACTGCCTACTGCCAACTGCATGCTTCTTTGTAGTCCTAGAGATGGCAACAAATTATTGTCTTGGAATTACTAGAAGTGCGTGTGCAAGGAAGATTGTACAGCCCTTTTTTCCAGGGGGCGCTTTATCTATAAAAATACGTGTGAAATCTTGCTTTCATGTACAAAAGGCAAATTCCCTGTTGGAGGTTTCCATGTGAGTTTTTGCAAGTATTCTTGAAATCAAGATTTTGAAGTTTGTATGTGGTAGTAATGTTGAATGCTCAAGTGCTTGTCCTCCCTGGATGGAATTAGTTTAAATATGTGTTTTTCTGTTGCATACCAAAGGAGAAGTGTGAGGAGACCATGCTTTTTTACCGGCTGTTAATTTACACCATTTACAGTGGTACCTATCACTTGATGTTCTGGCTAGGTACCTTTTTTTTTTTGTGTCAGGCACTTTGTTTAAATATGCTTTTCATCTGTGAAAAATGTAATCAGGTGATCTTTGTGTACACACCTGCCGGTGATTGGGTGGTCTGATGGCTAAGAGTTACTCTATACATGGTTGTGACACCACTGAGAAAGCAGTAAATGCTGGCTTCGACTAGCTGAAAAAGCAGAAGCAAGGGTTGTCTGATGGAACAGACAGGGATGTCTCTTGTCTTAATGATTTAAATCAGTTCAGGAAGCAAAGCAGTTTACAAGCTAAATACTAGGGGTTTAGCAGCATGATAGATTGGACTGATTCTGTTTGAGCTGATTTCCTAAGAAGGATCTTTGGGGTTCTGGTTCAGCTGAGTGTCAGTGCCAGACTTGGAATAGCCAAGACTCAAAAGTTGACGGTTTTGTCATGACTGATGGCAGCGTTGAGTCTGCTTTTGACTTCTATCTGGACATGCTTTCACTGCAAAACGCTGTGGGGTGGAGTAGAAAGGAGAATGTCAGAGCTGTTGAGAAGCCCAGTATGTCAGTGTCAGGAAGGGAGAGGCTTAGAACTAATGATAAAATTGAAGTAGATTCAGTCTTTTTAAATGAGTGCCTTCGTAGGAGAGCTACTGTTAACCTAATTTACTTTTTGGAGCAAGGTGAAGGGAGGTATTTTTCATTGCATGGTCAGAAACCATAGAAAAGGGAAGTAGGCCTTTTTCTAATTTTTCTTAAGTTTTAAATTAGAAGGGAATTTTAGGTGGGTTTTTTTTACCATTCTGTTTGTTGACATGAAAATTGTGGTGTAGCACTTGAGTAAGTTAGGAAAAAAAGCTGACATGTCACTAGAATTAATTGTTGAGCTTATTTTTAGAATTTATATTTTTTCAACCAAATGCTACAACTTTACAAAAGTAGTAGTTCTTTGACACTGTGTTCTGTAGACAGTGTGGAAACCCTTTTGCTGTCATTTACAGTTCCACTTCTATTTTGCTTGGTTTTATCCTAGCAATTTAGAATAAATGTGTTTAATTTTTTTCTTTCTTTCTTTTTGGTTTGTTTAGCTTACAAAAAAGCACTCACAGTCCTAGAAAACTTTTTGTACTGGTCTGTATGAATGCTAAGAGCAAACTAGAAACCTTCCCAAATGACCTACAATGTGTAGTTTGTACTAAGCTATATGGTGCAAGAGGCTTTGACTCCACAGACAAAAAACTCCTTTAGGAGTCTGGCTCATTGTCCCATAATTTCTGCTTGGTTTGCACTCTTGGTGTTGTGTGAATATGTGGTGATTTACGTATTCCTAAACAGAGCACTATTCTGGAATGAGCCATTATCCCAGGCCTCCCAGGGCTGGGCTGTAACTGGGATGTCACCGCTCATTTGAAATGCATGCACACTGACCATATTTTATGCCCTGTTTCTCTGCTGCTCAGAAGCAAGCAAGATAACAATGCATAAGGCTGTCAGTGAAGGTGCAACCGGATTAGTCTTTCAGCAGATGGCCTATCTATCGTTAATGAAACAACTATTAAGCAGAAGTATTTAGCTCATCCTTAGTTACCTGGCTAGTTTGGAGCTTTTATTATAATGCCCACTGCAGGTAAATTTGAACTTTATGTTAGGGTTTGTAGTGAATATCAGAAATTCCTGTTCTTGCTCTCAGCTAGAGCAGTTTCTGTTTTGGGGTTATGCCCGTTTGTGGGGTTTTATGATTGTGGTTGTAGTGTCTTGTCAAATGGGAGTGTCTCCTATCTTTCACTGAAAAGTACTCTTCTTTAGAAATAGTTCACTTCTGACTGAAATTACTTTCCTGAAAAATCACCACTCCCTGCTGAGCCTCCCACCCTTCAACTGAAATGCTTATTTCTTGTCAGCATCAAAGCAGTGTCAGAGAGCACTGGACATACCATACAACTGTCCGTTTTCCTGGCGCAAATGGATGTACATTAGGTACAGAAGTTTGAAAACTTTTATGTTTTGGAGTGATGTAAAGAAGAGTGAGGAAATTATTCTTTGAAGTGCAATAACTGCTGCATGTTCTTAGTTTCAAACATGTCCATTATATTCATCTGCCTCTGTGTGTGTGTCTTTCCACCTCACTGACAGCAGCTAAAACAAATGCTATTAGGAAAGCTCCTTGATTATTCTGCTAACAGAAGTTTGTCTCTTACCTCTTTACAGTGCAGTCCTATGGGTGGAGTGTAGGGTCCTTTTGGGGAAAATCTCAAGGAAGTCCTGATGACAGCAAGCCAAACAGCAGCAGCAACGTTGAAAACAAGAAGATGATCCAAAATGAGCACACAGTTGCAGAGTTGCTGAGGGTGGAGAGGGGAGCCCCTCTATATAGTGTCCGTGTAGCTCTGATAGTGCATTATCAGCTCAGTCACACAACAGAGCTGGGGAGAGGACACCCCAGCACTGAAGAGCAGTCTTCATCCCAGCTGAGCTCTTGGCACTGGGGTTGCTGCTGCTGTTATAGATATGAATATACTGTGTGAGTATTCCAGCGTTCATGGTGCATACTAAAGGCTGCTACTGAACTCCCAGCCCTGAACACAGACTGCTTGGAGTCCCCTGATTATTTTAGGAGGGTGGAGAGAAGCATTGTTTGGGGGAAGTCTGGTATTAATAGACACAACAGGACATTTCAGAATGGGATAATTCCATAGTGGTGGGAGTGGGGAGGGGGAGAGGGAGAGGGGCGGCTGCTATGGTAACAGCTTAGCCTGTCCAACACTTCCCTTTGCTTGCAATAGAGGAGGGTCTATGGGATGGCAGAGAGGGTTTGTGAGTGGGGAGGGATTGATAATGGTTTATCAGTGCAAATGGCTGAAGGCATCTTATTCAGCTGAATGAGAGGGGTCTCTTTCAGGACACTTGCTTCAGGGTCCCTGTGTCCTGCCCCATATAATTACTCTGCATTTGACAGTGCCGAATAAAATTGATGCCTTTATGCTGAGATGAGCACAGCTGCATGTTTCCTTATAATGGGGTGCTGTCTGGTTTTTCTGGACTCCGTCTGGGCAGACAGTAGTTCCAGCTGTGGAGAGAGACACTTGCTGACAGGAGGACTCAGATTTGGAGAGAATAATAATGATACTTACCACTTAGACAGGCGCCTGCCAACTGGGGGTCATAAATGTTTGAGGTCTCATAACAACATCAGTGTTGTGCTCTTATCCCCATTTTACAGACCTAAGGGTGAGTGATTCATCACACCAGAGTGTTGGGAGGGCCCTTGCAAAGAACCCGCTACTTCAGCCATAAATCTATCCTTTCCATTTGAACTTTTCCTTTTGTCTGGTGACTTTGAGAATGACCTCTAAATCTCAGCGAGTGTTTCACATACCGATAGAATGAAAGGAATTAAGCAGCCTGTTTTGCAACAGAAACCTAGAGAAGTCATTCCTCTATCGTTTTCGTTTTATCCTAAGTTCTTCCCAGCCTGCAGCATTGCAGCTGTAGGGGTAGGTAATAGGCAAGGAAACTGAACAGCTGCTCCTCAGAGCTCCTAAATATTGGCATAAAATGTGTAGATTCCATCGTCCTTTACAGAAGTTTTCTATGCCTTTGCCTAAGCTTTTCTACCAGAAGTTTGGCTTACCTGCCTGTTTAGAAATGTAGTAAGTTCTAGAACAAGTCATGTGGTTTAGTTTTAGGTAGTGCTGTGAGGAACAGGGAGTTGGACTCGATGATCCTTATGGGTCCCTTCCAACTCGAGACAGTCCGTGATTCTATGTGACAGGAGCACAGTTATATTTACCACATAAAATTGCATAGTTCTTGATTTTCTTTAACTTATGACTAAAAGGAATTTGTAGGCAGAAGAGCTAGGGTTCAGTGGTCTCTTGTTTGTCCCAGCTATTGAAGACTAAGGAATCCAGCCATGGTAAAGGCATTTGAGCAATGTGCTTTGGTTTAATCATTTTTATTCTCTCTCCCTGCCCCCTGCCACCAGTGCTGTAATGCCTCTGTTATGGCTGGTTCCCATGGTTTTAACAGAGAGAGGGTGTTGCCACCTTTCCTTGCCCACCTCTGAAAAAGGATCTAGAAGGACTGGAAAGTATGCCTAGAAGAAGGACAGGGTGATATCACTGATGGCATATAAAAGCAGTGAATGCTGGAGCAGCATTCTAAGGAAGTACAACTCTGTGACTGTTCTGTCCACATACTCTTTTCTGTGCAACTGATGTGAAAGACAGGGTGCTAAACTAAATGATATTTAGTCTGAGCTTGGAAGACACTTCTTCTGTTACATAAAGTACATCATACAGCATGCAATGTACGTTGTTTTAGGAGAAAGAATTTCTTAATGTTTTCCTTTCTTTCCTTTGTCCAACCAGGCATCTGTGCAGGCCATGCCATAACCGTGAAAAAGCTAAGGGTCTGGGCAAGTACATCTGTCAGAAGTGCCATCTGATCATTGATGAGCAGCCTCTGATGTTCAGGAATGATTCCTACCATCCAGATCACTTCAACTGCACCCACTGTGGGTATGTTCTCCTATTCTAAACTCTGGCGACAAAGGAGAGACACAAACAGTACAGTCAGCGGTGCAGTTCTTTCCCAGGCCTAAGCTATGCTGTCTTCACATTGTTGAACAAACAGAAATTATGTGAGGAGAAATCACACGAAATTTGGAAAGCCTACAGGAACTTTAGTTTTATTTTGCCTTTCAGTGTTCTTTTACTCTAAACTTGAATTGACCCTATTTTATACTGAAAATGAAACCAGTTCCTTTGGTGTGAACTTACCTCAAAGGCTGTGTGCAGATTACAATAATAGTGTTGTCCAAAGATAGCTGTTACCAGGCTATTCGAAATAGTTTCAGTTTGCATTCCTGGCTGGGAAAAAAAGATGACTTGATGAGTTTTGTCAGTCTTCTGGCATGGTCCATTACCATGCTGATGCCTGTCTGACCTGAATTACTTACCATGAAGGCGGCGTAATTGGAGCACAGTACTGCCCTAGAATGGGTAACAGCGCTGAAGAATAAAGTAAATGGCTCAGTGTTGGGCACTACTAGGATGGTCCTTGCACCTGAGCTATCCCATTCAAAGATAGCTTGAGTCTGTGCATGACACTGCATTGTTCCATGTAAGCCCATCTCCTATTTCTGCCAGAGTATCTAGCCAAAGCCATGACATTCTACAGGTGTCCTCTTGTCTGGCAAACTGAGAAAGCAATCTTAGAGAAGTGAGTTGATGATAACTGTATTTCACTGGCTTAATGTAATGACTCTGCACTTGTAGCATGAATGTTGCCAAAGTATGTTAACTTTCAAGTTTAATCTTCCAAAACTTCATCTTGGGCATTAAAGAGCTTTATTTGATGCTCTTAATTCAGAGATATGTTTGTGTTTTCAGGAAGGAGCTGACTGCTGAGGCCCGGGAACTGAAGGGAGAACTGTACTGCCTGCCCTGCCACGACAAGATGGGAATCCCCATCTGCGGAGCCTGCCGCAGGCCCATTGAGGGACGAGTGGTCAATGCTCTGGGAAAACAGTGGCATGTTGAGGTGAGGCCTCTCTGAATCTGGAACTTCCTTCAGGAGCCATTTAGAAAGAGGACTAGTGCTAGTTGGAAGCTGTAGACATTTATGTGATCTGTAATATATTAGTTCAGGGAAAAAAAACAATTGCTAATGTTTCAGATTGTCTTCACCTTATGTGAGTGAATGAGTATAGCAGGGTCATCAGAGTTGCCTGAGAAAGCTATGCTTTCACAACAGTAATAACATTAATTTTAAAATGCCTGAGTTGCATTGTAAAGATTCTTGCAGAATATGGTTCACTGAACAGCATTTACTAACTAATAAATTTATGTATTTACTATGATGTGCTTAGATACATCTTCTCCAACCCCAGTTAACAGGTTGATAACAGTGTTAGAATTTGTAACGTAGGCAGAGACAGTGCAATTATTGCGTTTTAAGCCTTTTCAGATCATTGTTTCTACAACTTTCAGTGGAGTCGTCACAGCTTGCTCTGAAGATTTTTAGCTATTTATGTTTTTAGTGATTTAAGCCTCCTAGGGCTTGAACTGAAAGAGATGATGATGATTATCATCTGGGGTGGATTCATACCATGTTTTATGTTCCTGTTTCTTTTCTGAAACAAGCAAGATAATAGTCTGCAAGCCTATCAGTATAGACACAAGATGATTGCCCTGCCAGCAGGTCTTCTACCTATCTTTAAATATGATTCTATAGTAGAATTAATATTTCCTTTTTTCTTTTACTTCCGTAAAGATTTTTCTGTCTGAGTTTCATTAAAGCATCAAGGGGCCACAATTTTAAACTGAAAGAGGATAGATTTAGATGAGATATAAAGGAGGAAATTCTTTACTCTGAGGGTAGTGATGCACTGGCCCAGGTTGTCCAGAGAAGCTGTGGCTGCCCCCTAGCTGGCAGTGTTCAAGGCCAGGTTGGATGGGGCTGTGAGCACCCTGGGAAGGGGTCCCTGCCCATGGCAGGGGGGTTGGAACCAGGTGGTTTATAAGGTCCCTTCCAACCCAAACCATCCTATGATTCTGTGATTAAGTGTCCCATATTGAGCCATGATTTGTAGCCATTGAAGTTTTTCTCTGGTGATGGAAAAGTCGCTTTGCCTGCTGCTGAATGTCGTTTTTTTGTTTTACAGCATTTTGTTTGTGCCAAATGCGAGAAGCCATTCTTGGGGCACCGACACTATGAGAAAAAAGGACTGGCTTATTGTGAAACTCACTACAACCAGGTGAGTTTTGCCATCTATACTATAGGTACTTGCTCTGACTGGCAAATACTTTTTTTGCATTTTATATATGCAAACCTATGCAGATTTTGTGTAATCTGAATTTGTAGAGGCAATGCAGTATTATGAAATTAGTGAGATTTGACAGAAAAAACAGTTTTTCTTGGTAGGTATGAAAAGTGATACTGAGAACAGAATGGAAATGTCTTGGGGATATTGATTGTTCTTTGTGCCATTGACAGAAAAAAAACCACTTAACGTGGATTGTGATTAAAATCTCTGTAATTCTACTCCAAAACTATTTGTGTGGACTTTGATAATTACTTGCTTCCATGGGTGTAAGATAAATGTTGTGCCATCTAAAGCATAAGAAAAGTATGTTTCAAAAGCCAATCAAAGCCTATTTTTTCTGTATGGCTCTAGTGAACAGCTATGAGTTCAGTATTTTCTTCTGTCAGATAAATTAGTCTTTCATAAGAGATGAGTGTTACTGCTTTGAAAGTAGCTCTAGGTTTCATTTTGATGTTTATAGTTAAGCATCAGGAGATGTTTGTCTACAGTAAGCATCATACTCT